TTCTGTACAGTATTATATATATTTACAGTACTTATATATTTATAGGATTACTGTATTATATATTTACAGTGGCAATGAAATACAGTATAAGTACTGTATTTTGTTGCCACTGGGTAATAGAGGTAAGCTAATCTTACGAAGATGTAAGTACAGTACTGTACTGTATTTTTTTTTTTTAGCATACCAGTACTGGGTATACAATATTGCATTATATGAAGTATTTATTTGTTACAAATATTATATGTAATTATCTGGTTAATTCAAATTCAAGAACTTTATTCATAAATGGTTGTGCATTTATATTTTTTAATTAACAAAATAATTACCCTGTAAGTACATTATTAATTTGTACAAAAGTCATGAGAATGTACAATACATAACCATTATGTCTATATACTTTATAATTTTAGATTTTAGAAGCTTTGTTCATAATTGATTTCTACAAGTCATTACAGTTGTGGCTGGATTGAACAGGTGTACAGTTGGGGCTGGAGTGAACAGGTGTACAGTTGGGGCTGGAGTGAACAGGTGTACATTCGCAGTTGGAGTGAACATATGTTCATTTGTGATTGGAGTGAACATATGTTCATTTGTGATTGGAGTGAACATATGTTCATTTGTGATTGGAGTGAACATATGTTCATTTGTGATTGGAGTGAACATATGTTCATTTGTGATTGGAGTGAACAGATGTACATTTGTGGCTGGAGTGAACAGGTGTACAGTTGTGGCTGGAGTGAACAGGTGTACAGTCGCAGTTGGAGTGAACATATGTTCATTTGTGATTGGAGTAAACATATGTTCATTTGTGATTGGAGTGAACAGGGGTACAGTTGTGGCTGGAGTGAACAGGTGTACAGTTGTGGCTGGAGTGAACAGGTGTACAGTTGTGGCTGGAGTGAACAGGTGTACAGTCGCAGGTGGAGTGAACATATGTTCATTTGTGATTGGAGTGAACAGGGGTACAGTTGTGGCTAAGGGAACAGGCATAATTACCTAAATGTAGTTACAGAGTGAGAGCTACTCTCATGGTGTCCTGTCTTCCCAGTACTCTTTGTCATATAATACTTGAAACTACTGACGGTTTTGGCCTCCACCACTTTCTCACTTTGTTCCAACCGTCTACCACTCTGTTTGCAAAAGAAAATTGTCTATTATTTTTTCGGCTCCTCTGTTTCCTTTGCTTGAATCTGTGTCCTCTTGTTCGTGAAGTTGCTTGTTTCAGGAATTCCTCTTTGTCAATTTGGTCGATTCCTGTTAGTATTTTGTAAGTGGTGATCATATCATTTCTATCTTCTAGTTCTGGCATGTTTAATACCTTCAGTCTCTCCTCGTAACTTTAATTTTTCAGTTCCGGAAACCATTTTGTAGCATGCTGTAGCATCTTTTCCAGTTTCTTTATGTGATTCTTGAGATTTGGGCACCATACAACTGCTGCATATTCCAATTTTGGTCTAAAAAAAAGTCATGAACAGTGTCTTTAGTATTTCACCATCCATATAATTAAAAGCAAGTCTGAAATTGAAAAGCAATGTATATGCTCCTCTCGTAATGTTCTTTGTGTGTTCCTCTGGCGACAGCTTATTATCCAAAACCACCCGAGGTCTCGTACTATATTAGAGTTCTGTAATTTCTTTCCATATAATTTGTAAGTTGTGTGTGATCCATTTTCTCTGAATCCACATTCCATAACACGACATTTATTTACATTGAATTCCATTTGCCACTTTACGCTCCTGAATTCCATTTGCCACTTTACGCTCCAAGCACTTATTTTATCTAGATCAATTTGAAGGGCATTACAATTGTCTGCACCTCCTATCTTCCCCAGTATCTTAGCATCATCAGCAAACATGTTCAAATAATTCTATATTCTTTCTGGTAGATTGTTTATGTAGACGATGAACATTACTGGTGCAAGAACTGAACCCTGTGGTACTCCGCTAGTAATACTCCTCCAGTCATATACATTGTCTTTTATTACTGCCCTCATCTGTCTCTCTGTCAGAAAGTTTTTCATCCATGTCAAAAGTCTCCCCGTCACTCCTCCAGTATGTTTCTGTTTCCAGAACAGCCTCTTGTGTGGGACTCTGTCAAAAGCCAAAAGTCCAGATAGACACAGTCTACTCAACCATCTCTTTTCTGTATTATATCTCTGGCTCTATCAAAAAACTAAGTAGATTTGTTACATTGGATCCTCCTGCTCGAAAACCATACTGTTTGTCTGTTATTATGTCATTACTCTGTAGGTGTTCAACCCATTTGGCTTTAACTATTGTTTCTAGTGTTTTGATTACCACGCCTGTTAGTGATACGGGTCTGTAATTTAGAGGTTCCTCTCGACTACCTTTTTATAGATTGGTAATATGTTTGCCTTTTTTTCCATATAATGTATCTGCCAAGATTCCTGTGCACAAGGATGTCTGGAATATTAATTGAAGTGGAATGCTCAGCTCAGTTGCACATTCTCGCAGCACCCAAGTTGAAACTCCATCAGGTCCAACTTCTTTATTTCTTCCTAGCTACATGAGTAATTTTTTCCACTTTGTCTTGAGATATCTCAGTATTTTATGGCTTACTCTGGAATTGCTATTGGGTCCAGTTCTGTGGAATCCTTATTTTGTGCAAACACACTTTGGAACTGTTCATTTAGCATTTCACACATTTTTCATTCTCAGTAGTCCTGTTCCCCGTTGTCAATCTCTGGATTTTATCCTTTACATGCAGCTTGCTTTTAATGAATTTATAGATTAGGCTCTATAGGATCAGTTTTACATTTGTCTGCTATACCTTTCTCAAAGTTTCTTTCTACCTCTCTCCTCACTGTTGTGTAATTGTTTCTTGCTTGCTTGTAGTGCTGGTATGTTTGTGGGTTAGGCTTCTTCTTTTATTGAACCCATTTTCTTGTCTTTTCCTCTCTGGCCTTCACACAGTTTCTGTTGAACCAATCCTTCATCCTGTTTTCTGGTCCTGTATCTCTGTTTTGGTCTGAATGTTTGTGTGCCTTCATTGTATATTTCACAAAATTTGGCATACATCTCATTTACTTCCTTGCCTAGCAACAAGTCTGTCCAATTAAATTCATTACAATTTTTTTTAAGTTCCCAGTAGTGTCTTCTCTTGAAATCAAGTTTATCGACTGTTTTAATATCAAATAGGACATGATCACTCTTTCCCAAGGGAGAAAGGTACAGGTACTGGATGTCAAATATCTCTTCTTTTTTCCTGGTCAATATTAGATCCAGTATTGACAGAACATCCCCTCCCTCATTTTGCCAGCACAGCTACTCCTTTCCCCTTCCTAGTTTTTCTGTCACGTCTCCGAACTGAGAAGCCCCTTGGGAATACGACCTCATTTAAAATATTTTCTTCAAGTTTTATTTCTGTTAGTGCAGCAATATCTGGAACCTTAAGCTGAATTATCTCTCTTATCTCCAGTATTTTTTTTATCTCACTTCATCTATGTTGGTATATTCAATTTTCAGGAACATGTTCCCTTTCCCTTTGTCCTTTACTCCCACTTCCTCTAATGATTTTGCTTCTTTGTTTTTAAGAACCATTTCAATAGCTTTCCAGTCCCTAACACTTTGGAGAAAAAAAAATTCTCCTTCATTTCTATTCCCATTCAGACGTTTTGCTTCATCTAGGTTTGTTTTCAGCTTTTCTGTCTTCCTTTGAGAGGCCTTTTCTTGTTGACCAAAGTTTGCCAACCTTATCACTGTAATTTCCTGGCATTTCTAAGCACTTCCGTCATTTGTTTCACTCCATTAAATGTCACTGATAAGAGGCAGTTCTTGTCCTTCTCATATTTTCCTATTCTCCTAAAGTCACTGACAGTTTCCTTTGAATTGAGGCCTTCCTTTAAACCTATTATTTTCTCTCTGATTTTTATTTCTTCTGTTGCTCTGTCCACCCTGATGATATTTCATTTTCTAAACATTCAAAAATTTTTGTGGACTTGCTTTTACCTACAGTGTTTTGTACTAGTTTACTGTTGGTAACCCATTCTTTCCTAATTGCTTGCCTAACTTCTGCTTCTTGTTGGTCATTTCTGATTTTTGACATTCAAACACACTTCCTTGATCTGTTTAGATGAACAGTATAGTTGTGGCTGGAATGAACAGGTGTACAATTTTGGCTGGAGTGAGCAGGTGTAGTCATAAAAATCTTATAGCTCATAATTAAGGTGGTGAGGCATAATTGATAAAACATACTACATAAAATGAAAGAAATAAGAATTTAATTTGAATGGTAACTGAAATAAAATAATTATACACAGCTCATGTAACATAGATTGGATTTCAACAGGACTTAAAATGCTTGTCAACAAGCCATCATTTTGCTAGAAACAGGGAAACACCATTTCTACATACATACATATATACATTCTTACATAGACAGATTATTTAACACAAGGGGCACACGCTCTAGGGGACACAGGTGGAAATTGAGTGCCCAAAAGGATTTCTAATGTCTCAACAACGTGGTTGATCAGACCACCAACCAGGCCTGGTTGGAGAATGGGTCGTGGGGGGCATTGATTCCCGGAAGCTACACAAGGTAGGGACATGTGAGAAGGTAGAAGCACATATGCGAGAGAGGGTAGAAAGAATGACACGGGGATGTACAATATACTGTAGATAAATAAGTAAGAAATTAAATGGGTTGAAGGACTATGTGTATGTTGAGAAACTGCTCCTGTCCAACAAGTGGTTGTGCAGTGTAACTAAATAAGAGCCATAAATGTTAGAATGAGCAAGGTGCTGTGTCTGGGTATGACTGAAGCAAGCTTATCTTCTACCCAACACATGTCTAATAAATGTGCAACATAGTGTTTTGTGCATTTTCTGTGTTAATGTTCCTTTATGATTGTGAAAGAGATAGTATTAAAATTGTTATGATAAATAATTGAATACTTAAATTTATTTGTTCATATTTGACTATTTTGAGAAAATTTGTTAAGAGATAATTGTGATATTAATATGAGAGCTTGTCAACAGGAGCTGGGCGGCTACGGTCAGGTAGTGAGAGTGAACAACGCGTGAGCATGAGGGTGCACCGCTCTGGTACTTCCAACACACACACACCGCAGCTCTCAAGACCTACAGATACATGTGTACAAACTTGGGCTAACAGGTGAGTTGTTAAAGGCCACTTAAAATTATGCTTGATTTAAAAACAAATAAATCATTTTTATTTCTGGGAGGGCTCCCAAAAATGTTGCAAGCCCTTGTTGGCTTCATGAGTTGAAGTTCCTGAATTCTTCTCCCTGTCGTGACATAGCTTAGGGTGCCACAAGGGGCAGCCCTCTCAGAAAGAAGCACATAATTGCATTCAACGCTTGACTTTTTTTTTTTTCCTTTTAATTTAGAGTGGTAGACAGAACAAGTTAAGTGAAAAGACAATGAATGCCAAAAATATCAGTAGTTTCAAAGCGTCATATGGCAAAGAATACTGGGAAGATAGCACACCATAAGCATAACTCTCATCCTGTAACTATTGGGTAATTACACCAAGGTAATTACTTGTAAGTCACATCAGCCCTAGTGAGTCTTTAAAAGTTTTAAAAGCCTACCACACTCGTCCCGTGCCTTGCGAGTGATTTGTTGTCTAGGAGGATTGTAGAATATTCTCCCTATTGTAGAATAGGGAGGATTGTCTAGGTGTTAGTCCCTAACTCTTCGCCTTTGTTCACCTAGCAGTAATTTGGTACCTGGGGCCAGATTCACGAAAGCACTTACGAACGTGTACATCTTTCCTCAATCTTTGACGGCTTTGGTTAAATTTATTAAACAGTTTACAAGCCTGAAAACTTCCCATTCAACTGTTGTTATTGTTATAAACAGCCTCCTGGTGCTTCGGAGTTCATTAATTGTTTAATAATTGGAAACAAAGCCGCCAAAGATTGAGAAAAGATGTACACGTTCGTAAGCGCTTTCGTGAATCTGGCCCCAGGTTGTTAACTGATTGGCAAGTCATGTTCCAGAGAAAACTAGTGGATAAGGCATGCCATGAAACAAATAGGAAGGGAAAGCTCTCAGCCTGCCAACAGGAGTCAGAAGTTGTCTGTTCCTGCACTTACATGGGGGAAAAAAACTGGCTCATGCAGAGGTGCAGAGAGCAGGGAATCATGAACACCATCACTGAAGACCAAAGCCCTAGAAAGGAAGTGAGGCAAATAAGACAACTGCAAGGTTCACAGAAAGTGAAAAAGCAATACAGTATAACAAATGACTCGGAAACTGATCTATTGCCCTGGGGATCCGTGTGTGATAACTGCACTTTAACCCTTTAGCTGTGAAACACAACTAGGAATGTTATCCCTAATTAATTATTCATTAGATGCATGACATGTTTTAACCTTTAACCCTTCCACTGCTCAGGGGTTCTGAGGACATTTACACCCCTGTGCGCAAGAAAAAAAAAATCTAAAATTTGTTCTCGTCTTCTAAACATGTTAATTTGTTTCCCCTGAGCACGGGAAAAATAAAAAAAAATCGTAGGTGACATATTTTGGACGCAATTGACTGAGGAAGTCTGGCAAAAAGTGGGCATTGACAGAGCGGTTGTCAGAGCCGGTCAGCGTCACCCGCGCTGACAGGAGGGAGTTGCCACAAAGATATTATCACTTAATTATTTATATGTCTCTGATTTTTTCTTAGTTTTTTGCAGTAATATTATTCAATAGTGTGTGTTGTAATATATTTATATAATAAATGGTGAATAATTGCTATACTCAAAAGTATGGTGTGCATATTAGTGATTCAATTATGTTCATAAAACAATAAACAAATAGTTTTACTGCTATTACTCTATACACTGGTTTTATATATAAGTATCTGCATGTTTTGTTCACTATAACGAACCACTAAGTTGGTAATGAGAGTCGAAAAGCAACGAGGAGTTACCGCCACACACCAGCCAACCACTCACTGCCACTCCCTCAACACACGCACTAAACTTTCTACCCCAACAATACCATTTGTGATGTTGTTATACTATATACAGACGTTATATATATGTATGTATATATTTTGTTCACTAAACTGTACAGCTAAGCTGATATAGTTAGTTCAGGCACTAAGATTCGTCTCTATACACACAGTCAGCTGGCGGCTCCCTCACTCATTCAAGGTCACACGCACTAAACTTTCGCCCCCAACAATACTGTTTGCAGTGTTATTACACTATATCCACATATTATATATAAGTATCTACATGTTGTATGCACCGTAACTGTACACCTAAGCTTGTAGTTCGCCCAAAGAGCATGGTGGCCACCCTCTAAACAGCTAGACAAATTATGCAGACGACGTCATCTCCGTCACCCAAATGGCTCCTCCCAGAATAATCCTTTTGCTGTTATTACACTAATACACACATTATATATAAGTATCTACATTTGTGTTAACCATAGAGAACCACTGAGCTGGTCTGGTGAATGCAAACAATAACAGGTGGCCACACAGTCAGTAATGATGCTATTTCCCTCCGTCTGCTATTATCACAACCCTGGTTATTTATATCACAGTCAGGGGTCATCTGTAATATTGTCATCGCTAAATAATAACAATTATATATTTATTTTGACATTTTTCGGTGATGCTGTGGTCACAAGCTGAACAGCAGTGCTGTTCGCTCATGCTGCGTGCGCCAGCTTTGGTTGCTCCAACAGTACTGTGCCTCTCACACCTGAGAATATTGCCCACGATTTAAAAAAAAAATGGCGTCTGTTTACAAGAGCCTTGAGGAAGCTAATGTGAACCCTGTGTAGCCGCGGGCCATTTGAATCGGGCCTGGCACACTTGGGCGTATATATACGCCATGCGCACGGTGGAACATGTTATTCAGAGCGTATATATACGCCATGTGCAGTTTAAGGGTTAAACTGCACAAAACCTCATATGATGTGTGACATTGAACTCAGTTTTTAAAATTTTCTGAAACTCTTTCAAATGTTTTGTGAATAATCTACTCGGCAAATGGTCCAACTTTGTTTAAATGATACCAGTGTAACTTGAAAAACAAGAAAATAAAAAATAATTATAAAATTGAATATTGAAAACTTCAGATTTTGATATCAGCTGCAAAAATATAAAAATATCACCAAAAGTTTATTTGGTATTATTATGCTTACAGAATAGTATATGATCTTCATTTTCATATATTTAGAATACAGTGGTACCTCAGATTACTAGCACCCCTGGTTACGAGTTTTTCGGGTTATGAGCAGGATTTGTTCAGAAAATTTGTATCAGGATACGAGCATTGCCTCAGGATACGAGGGTGTTGATACGCGTACAGGCCGTCCTAGCACGCGGTGGCACGGCGATCGCCGCTTTGTTTACAGTGCCTCGTGCCCAGTGATTATCCCGCCTCAATTCTTCACCAGAATTTACAGTGTTTTGTTGGATAATTGGCCATTTAAACATAAAAGTTGTTATTATATATCTCACAATGGGTCCCAAGAAAGCCAGTGGTAAGGTTCAACCTAAGAAAATAGTTGTGAGTAGAGGCAGTAGAGGATGTCCCTTCCTCATTAAGAAAATGTGTGAAGTATGGGTAGAACTGCAAAATTTTGTTGAAAAAACTCACCCAGATAAAGCTGTAGCAGGCCATTGCATTGACCTTTTAAATGACAATGTGATGTCTTACTACAGACAAGTGTTAAAATGTAGGGAAAAACAAGTGTCTTTAGACAGATTGTTAGTAAGACAAGCAAGCAGTGAGCCACAAGCAGGTCTAGTGGTATGCAGGCAAAACGTGCCAGAGAGTGTACCCCAGAGAAGTCCTCACTGCTTGATGTTATAATGGAAGGGGACTCCCCTTCCAAACAGTAACACCTCTCCTTCTCCCCCCTCCTCACCATCTTCCACATGCCAACAGCAGTCATCAGCAAGGGTAAGTAATAATTTGAACATACATTTGTAGTGTAAATTTCGATGAATTAGGTATAAAATTTAGTTTGAAGTGAGGTTTTTGGGTAGTCAGGAACGGATTAGTTCATTTCCCATTATTTCTTATGGGGAAATTAGCTTCGGTTTACGAGTTTTCGGGTTACGAGCCATCTCCGGGACCGGATTAAACTCTTAAACCGAGATACCCCTGTATAGGAATTCAGTATAATTTACTGTAAACAAATAATGTCAATATGGCATTTGAAGTACAGTACAGTATGCTCAAATTTAGACAACAAAAATTTATAAGTCCAAACGTTTAAGAGTTTATGAAAAATCAATTCTATAGGAATTGTAGAACAGACAGCTGTGCACACTATATGTAAAAATGGTGAGAATCGATCAGAAACTAGATTTTTGGATACTGAAGTATGTTGAAATTCTAGTTATAGATATAATTGAAGTTGAAGTTATCGATAATGAATAAGGCAGTTCTAATTCATGAATTTACTTGTTTGTTGTAATAAACATTGTTTGGCATTCGTACACAAGTATGTGAAAGTTGTAGGTCAATGTGTGTAGAAATGAAGTCAAGAAAAAATACTCCCCCTAAAAAACTAAATATAGGGATAATTATAAGGGATAATTATAATGATTTAGGGAATATATTTAGGGTATACTTTATATAAGTAAAAAAAACTAATCTGGTCCCTAATCATGAAAACAACCTAAAGAAACAAGGAAAATAGAGTTTGAAATCTGTGAAAAAAATCAGTAAAAAAAAATTCAGTCCCAAGTTCTGAGAGTTGTAACTGATTTATTTGTTGACTAATTTAATTCTGGCTTCACATAGTTAGGGACAAGTCTGCATTCTCCAGGATGTAAAGGTTAAAACAAATTCAAATAAACAAAGGAGGAAAAAACCTAAAAACCTAAAAAAGGGGGGGCCCATCGGCTCCCCGGAGCTTATCCAGGCTGATATGCTAATGTCAGACTTTGGCATCAGTCATGTGTATGGAGTTCTGTGGGCCTACCGGGGACCATGAGCCAGAACCTGGCCCCCCATCAGAGAGGCATGGGGAGCAATGGCCTATAAAAACCCCCATGTGGTTGGAAGCATTCTATGTCTGCCATCGATCGGGTCAGGCACCCAGAAAGGTAAGTGTCCCAAAACAAACCCCTATTCTGGTGAAAATTGCTACCAAAAGCCGAACAAGTGGATAGAACTAGCCAAAAAGA